TATGAAGAGCAGCTTCTGGTTGTTGCAAATGTTTAAAAAGGCTATATTTTCATTTGTTCATTATCAAATTTATTTTTACAGTTTTTATTTGAAACATTTACATTAAACATTTTGTAATTTATTTATTTTATGCCCACAATTTTTTTTGAATTGTCTGATTTTGTTATTGTTTATGTTAAAAATATATATTTTTCTGCTGATAAGCCTGAGTGGTCTGTTTACTGTCCTTTGTATTTGTTCAAATAATTGTTCTGGGCAGGTTACAATATAAATGTGTTTGTCGTAATCATGTCTTGTGATTATTTTACACAAGTTTTACTTTTAAACTGTAAGTGTATTTAATTTAGTTACAGTATGTTAGTTTAGTTATGATATAAATACAATAAAAATTAAACCAAGATTTAGAATAATTATCATTTTGATCCATTTATTGGTAATGTCTGACTGGGCCTCGTGTCACTTTATGTTCAACAAATTGGGCCCAGAGGTCAAAAAGGTTAAGAGCCCCTGATGTAGAAGATCCTTAAGATAGGCTTGGGCCAAGCCATTTATAGCTTTAAAAACCAATAAAAGAATTTTGAATTCAATGCGATAAGAAACTGGCAGCCAAAGCAGAGAAGCCAGTACTGGAGTTATGTGGATCATGTTTTTTGGTTCCAGTTAGGAGTCGAACTGCAGCATTCTGAACCATTTGGAGACGTTGTAAAGAAGATTGGTCCAAGATTTTGTATAAATAGTTACAGTAACCTAAGCGTGTAGTAGTAAATGCATGAATACATTTCTCAAAATCTTTAAAACAAAAACTTGATTTTACCTTTGCTAGAAGGCGCAGATGAAAAAAGCTTGATTTCACATCAGCACTCACCTGCTTACCCAATTTCAAACAACTGTCAAAAATGGCACCAAGATTCTTAACAGAAGACTAATAAAAAGGGCTAGAGAACCAAGAATTTGGTCAGGTTTAGTAATAAGGTTCTTTTACCCAAAAAGTATGAATTGAGTTTTATTTTGATTCAGGTGAAGAAAATTTTGGTTCATCCATTAACTACTGTAACTTCAGTTAACAATCTGTTAGAGATTGTAGGGAATCATATTTATCATGTATTTTCTTTATGGGCATGCATATTTGGACATCGTCTGCAAAACAGTGAAAATAAATATTATATTTCTTAAAAATGTGTCCAAGAGGTAGCAAGTACAATATAAACAAAACAGGGCCTAAGATTGAACCCTGAGGGACTCCGTAATTTAGGGGTGCTGCCACAGAAGAACAATGAATGAATGAATGTCAAAATGCTGCACACAAGTAAAAACAAGTAAAAGCGCCTGACCTGGGGGTTGTAGTTATGGTCAAAGTGATAGGCCTTCTGTGGAATGGTAGGTTTTTGATTTTGTATGGACTGATTGTGGTTTCCAGCTCCGTGTCCCGGGAAGCCCAGCTCGTCATCCAACATGGGAGCAGACTGAGACCGTGACATGCTGGTCTGCTCCATAGAACCAGGGAGCTCAGGACGGTCCAAACTAGTCTGCTGCTCAATGGATGAACTATAGCTTTCCATGGGAATACTGTCAAAAGAGATGGAACAGTTGTGGTCTAAATGTAAATAAAACCCAATTACTAAATAAAAAAATGCACACTTGAACAAAACATACCTGTAGACTTTGTAGGAGCCGATGTCAATCTCATCTATGCTTTGTGATTTCTTAAACTTGGATCTGGTCTCCCTCATCATGGGCGACAGACGGTCGGAGCTTTTACTCATCACCACCGTTACCTTGTTGCCCCCACTGACCGTGAGCTGATCTTTCCTGTTCTGCTCCCCCTGTTTGTCATGGTATGTCCAGCTTCCCGGCAAAGGCCCTGAACTTGGTTCCAACCTTGCAGCAAAACACAAGGAACGATTCAGTCATGAAATTTACTAACAGGAACAAGCAGTGAGCTAGCCTGGCCCTCGCTTTCCAACAGTTGCGCTCTGGTAGAATTTCAACTGGGTCAATCAGCAGGAGGAGGAGTTGTGAACAATGACATCGATTTTCTGCTGTTTTAGTCTGCCTGCAGTTTAGCAATAGCAGCAGAGGAAGTGAACAAATCCCTTCCATAATAAATTAAATGTGTCTCTCAAAGCTCGCAGCATCATTTACAACCATCTCGTTCGGCTCAGATGGTTGTTTACAGCGCACGCAATTTCCGATTAGCTTCTTAGCTTAGCTTCCTTCACGGTCGAGCTGGCGCACTACATACATCATGGCCAAACATTAGTGACTGGGTAAATCAGATTCAATCATTTTAAACCTCAACAGAGTTCACGCCTCCAGCCAGAAATCACTTCTCAATGGCCGAGAGTCCAGACCCTCTGTACGAAGCAACGTGAAGAACAAGGGTCTGGTTTTTACCAGGTTAGCAGTGAACAGCAGAAAAAAGGCTACAGTTTCCCCAAACATATTAAAATTATGATAGTCAAAGACTAAGTTAGGTCCAATAAATATCTAGATAATGAAATACAAACAATTCATTTTAATAATGCAGTAATCTAATTTATAAACCTTATTTGTCTGAGAATAAATGATTACATAATAGTGTCAAACAGAACAATAAAGTCCTATTATTGTTCCATTAAATGTATTACTTTATTGTTTCAAAACCATTGTAGAACAAACTGAAAGCTGAAAGATTTTCAACATTAACTAGTTTTTTTTTATTAATTAAATAAAATTAATGGAGCAAAGCTGTAATTAACACATCACAAGTAGGGGTCCCTGCAGTACATGTTCTGTGGGCGGAGTATACCCTAACCATGATTGGTGGAGGTCTTGGCGTGGGCGGATTTGCCCTAATTGTGATTGGCAGAATTGGTATGTGGGCGGAGTTTGTCTTAACCGTGATTGGTCGGATTGACTTGTCTTGTGGGGGCAACTTAAAAGAGGAAGTAAAGGTAATTGTAAAATAATTTGATTTATTGACTGTCTATGTAAAGTTTAAAACAGAACAATGACAAATAAAAAAATATTTTGAACATGTAAGCATATGTAAACATAATTTATTGACTTCAAATTTCATGAGGCAAGCAACTTTGTGTCTCAAGTTATGACTAATATTAAGTCATGTTCATTGTTAGTGATCTTTTTATGGACTGGCTAGGAATGTTTTGACCGATCCAAACTGTTACACATCCCTTCACATGTAAGGAGTTCAAATTTTGTGTAGCTATCACCCTCTTGTCTCAAGTTATGGCTAATATTAATATTTATATTTTAAAAAATTGGTGATTCCGGGTCAATTTGACCAAGCTGATCCCAGCTTCTTCAAACCTCACCGTCAATCTGACCAATCATGTCTTGGGCAAACTACGTCCACAAAATAAGAAACTCCTACTTAGTGACTGCAGAGACCCCCTCCTCCCACAATGACTTAAAAAGCTGTGAACGTCGGTCTTAGAACTGAGATAAACTTGGCTCATGTTCAGTCACTTACCTTGAGTCTATGTCCTTGCGGTCAGGGTTGGGACTTGAGGTGGGCGTCAAGTCCAGCTTTGAAGGGAAAGCAGTTCTGTCTTCTAACGGGCTGGGGGTCCTGGTCCAGTTCTGCCAGGGGTTCTGGGAAGGAGGTCCAGAGGACTGCAGGTCATTGTCTGGGTTGTTGCGTTGGTTCGTGTGGTAGGGGAGTGTCTGAGTGTCCAGCTCTAAGGGAACTCCTACAATTCGATCTTGCCTGAGGAGGGGGCGGCGGCCGTGAGCCGAATTGCTGCGAGGTTTGGAGCCCAGCGGGGGGTTCCCTTGGCTGGTGTTGGACGACGAAGGGTCCAGAGGAGACTCCTCGGCGTCGAAGCCCGTGTTGTCGTAGTGAGGGGCCTCAGCCCAGTCGAAGGGCTCGCTGAGGGGACGCCGATCTCCACGATGCTGTAGGGTTCCTGATGGAGGGGTTTCCCTCTGGGAGAGCAGGGGCTTGGAGTCAATGGGCTTAGGGAATGACTGGGCAAGTCTGCAAAGACAGAAAAAAAAACACTAGTTACACATTATATTAAAATGGGCTGGATTTTACTTAGGTTCTACAAACAGATTAGTGGGAACACCAACATTTCCTTTCCATGTTTCTGATTATTCTTTGTGTTTTCTTAAAAGCCTTTGAGCAGCGACACATGTGAGTTATTATGTATCCAGGAGTGTGAGTGCCAAATAACAAAATTGTCGTTTGCAAATATAATTTTTTGGAAGGATGCACCCAAAAAAAAAAAAAAAAAAAAAAAGAAGAAACCATCAAGTGCACAGACTGTCATGTATTCTCTACCCCAGGGCATGTAAAATAACAAATTTAATGTCAAAAAATGCCAAAAAGTCAATTCCCACTGCAGGAGTCCCTTAGAGCACAGAGAGGCATCAGGGAGTGAGAGAAGAGAGCACAGTCTGTATATGAAGGGCATGTTTGTCCTTCTGTGTTCATACTGACAAATACACTGCCTGGCCAAAAAAAAGTTGTCACCAAAAAAAAATAAAGGTCACACCAATACTGTATCTCATTGGACCGCCTTTAGCTTTGATACAGCACACATTTGCTGTGGCATTGTTTGGATAAGCTTCTGCAATGTCCCAAGATTGATTTCCATTCAGTGTTGCATTCATTTTTCACCAAGATCTTGCATTGATGATTTTTATTTATTTTTGTATTTATCCTTTATTTGTACAGGAAAATCTCTTGAGACTCATTGTCTCATTTACAAGAGAGACCTGTTACACGCATCACAACAAAGTAACATACTGAATAAGATGTTACAAAATCAATGGGAACACCCTGTGTGGTAGTAATAACAGGGAGAAATGCAGGCACCTTCTTCTTGTTAGAAAATAACATGCCCTTAATCTTACTTGCATTCAGTAACGGTCTAAGTTGTAATAGTTGAGACTGAAAGATGTCAGAAGAGGACTGCAAGTGCTCAAAAACAAGGGCAAATGATTTTGCACGACAATAAATTACTGAATCGTCGGCATAAAAATGCACAGCTGCACTTGTAAGACCACGGTCCAGATTGTTTAGATGGCAAACAGTATAGGTCCTGAAAGCCTCCTCCAGCACATCCCAAAGATTCTCAATAGACACTGTGGAGCTAAACCATGTGTGAAAATGATGTCTCATGCTCCCTGAACCACTCTTTCACAATAAGAGCCCCCTGAATCCTGGCATTGTCATCGTGGAATATGGCCGTGCCATCAGGGAAGAAACAATCCATTGMTGRARTAACCTGGTCATTCAGTATATTCAGGTAGTCAGCTGACCTCATTCTTTGAGCACCTGAACCTAGCCCTGACCAACTGCAGCAACCCCACATCATAGACCTTAGTTAAACCCAGGTGGACACTTCATTTTTGGCCGAGCAGTGTATAATACGCAATAATAAATTAAATTTGTTGTTTATTGCTAAAAACTAATTCAAAACATAATTCAAAATCATTTTAATGCAGTTTCCCAGCTGCAGACATGTCCACCTCAATCATACGTGCACAACAACCAGAGTAATAACCTCAACAGGAGGACTTCTCCTTTTATTTGCTTTTTTATGTGTCTATGGAGAAAAATAGACTTATTACACAGAGGAGCAGAGACTGCATGCATTTGCATCTAAGCAGAGAGAAAAGACCCTAAATAAAAAAATATCTGCAGCATCCTAATGAGTCTCCCTGACCTTGACTGAGCAAGCAGAGAATAGAGGAATGCACACAAAGATGGAGGGAGGGAAGATGGATGAGTTAGGATGCAGAAGATTAAAGTGGGGTTTGAAATGACGGAGAAGATGAGGCGACTGAGGAAAGGAGGACAAGAAACACGGGGAAGGTGAGCCTACCTGTTGGTCCAGTGGGTCTGAGGGGCCTGGTCCTTGTTGGGGGCCGGCAGGGCAGGGGTGTGCGGGTGTGCGTGAGAATGCGGGTGCGAGTGCGTGTTGGCGGACGGATTGGAGGAGCCTGAGGAGCCTTGGGAGGGAGAGTAGTCTGAGTAGGTGGCTGAGGAGCCGCTGTGGTTCAGACAGTGGAGCTTATCTACCTCCTCATCTGTGGACTCTGAACAGAGACAGACACACAACCACAAGTGTCTCCATTCAGGGAAAATGTCACGTTTGTTGTTCTAATAGTTTCTGTACAACTGTTGACAAGGTTTGGCATAGATTAAAAAAAAATCAAACCTCTTTGTTACATTTCAATTCCTGCAGGTACGGCAAATCAACAAGCCTACAATATACAACAATTTTACTTGGTGCAAAGTGTCCCCTCCACTGAGTCACTCTCTTTAACAAAACTAAAAATAAAAAATCACCTGCATCGCATATTTGACCAAAGTTCAGCCCACTGCAAGGCTCAGTTATAAACTATTGAACTACTAAAAACAGCAAAAAAAAGGGGGAAAAAAGACAACTGCTCTGGAAAGTTGTAAAGCAAGTGGCATGTTTTTTTATTTTGTTGTAAATATCAACAGTAATATGAAGGTAATTTTGTTTCTTTATTATTGAATCAAAAAAAATGTTTCAATAAAAAAAATTCAATCCAAAAAAAAGTATTAATAAAATTAAATTCCTGGTACACCAGGAAATCGCTTCAGTCCACTCTAACCAATAGGGACACGTCTTACATAGTTCCTCCTTAGGCCCCGCCCAGATTTTCTTGTTCTCTGAGTTTAAAACATTTTTGAGTTCAACCAAAAACGCAGAGCATCAATCAAAAGTTTGAGATTCAAGCAAAGATTTCTG